CAGTACATCTGACCCCACCCTTCTAGCATCGGGGATATTTCCCCATTTTGGTCCCACTTCCTAGGTCACTGAACCCTAAACCCGCCAACTGCACTGAGGTGACAACAATAAAATCCGTTCTGATTACTTACCGCATAGGGCTTGTAAAAGGCGTTCTTCTTATACCACTGAGGAATACCCCCCCTGATGTGGATGTGAGGTCCTAATGGGAAGAACCGACCACGTTCCAAGCTGTCTCGGGAATCGCCGATCAGGACTCCACTCTTCAGCAGACAACCAGCTGTAACATCAACAAAACGCTCAGAGTAATAATTCGAAACGAGTATTGCGAAGTCAGCTGAGAGACTCTCCACTCTGCGTGAGATGCTTTAACGGAAGTATACCTATCTCAACATCTTCCAGACCCTGATTGCTTTGCTTGCATATTGATTTATTGGGCAAGGCCTCTTCCACGAACTTTCTTGTTGCTTCTCGGCTCAGGACGTAACCGGAACCTGTAAATAAAGAATATTTGCATTGCATATTATCGGTATTATTGATTCAATTTATAAGGAAAAAGAAATTTAACAGGACACACACACACGTATATAAGTACATAGTATATCTATCTATCTATCTATCTATCTATCTATCTATCTATCTATCTATCTATATATATATATATATATTATATATATATATATATATATATGTGTGTGTGTGTGTGTGTGTGTGTGTGTGTGTGTATATTATAGATAGATAGATAGATAGATACATAATACATAGATACATAGCATAATACATATAGATATATATAGATATATATGTATATGTAATATATATCTATATCTATATCTATCTATCTATCTATCTACTATATATATATATATGTATATATATGTATATATATATATTATATATATATATATATATATATATATATATATATATATATATATTATATATATATATATATGCATATATATATATATATATATATAATATATATATAATATATATATATTGTGTGTGTGTGTGTGTGTGTGTGTGTGTGTGTGTGTGTGTGTGTATAAGGCCACTCACCTCCCCCAGGATTCCCTCTTTGTAGAACAATCTAAGTCTTGATCCAAAATAAATGGGGAATTTTGGGTCATAGTTGCTGAGCATATAAACGCAAATTCTCTATAATTGTGTACCTGTAAAAGAAGAGAAATTAGAGGGCGAAGACACTGCATCCATACGAAAAGGAAAAGATAGAGGGAGAGAGCTTGGAGAGAGAGAGAGAGATGAGGATAGATAGGGAGAGAGCTTGAGAGATAGAGATAGAGGAGAGAGAGAGATAAAGGATAGATAGGGGAGAGAGCTTGGAGAGATAGAGAGATAGAGGAGAGAGCTTGGAGAGATAGAGATGGAGATAGAAGGAGAGAGCTTGGAGAGAGAGATAGAGGATAGATAGAGGGAGAGAGCAATAGAGAAGAGGAGTAGGGAGAGAGAGGAGAGAGAGAGATGAGAGATAGAGGAGAGAGGAGAATAGCAGCGATAGAGGATAGATAGAGGAGAGAGCTTGGAGAGATAGAGGGAGAGAGCTTGAGAGATAGAGGGAGAGAGAGAGAGATAGAGAGACAGGGAGAGAGCTTGGAGAGGATAGAGAGGAGATAGAGAGGATGGAGAGAGGGAGAGATAGAGAGAGGAGAGAGCTTGGAGAGATAGAGATAGAGGATAGATAGAGGAGAGACATAGGGAGAGAGCTTGGAGAGAGAGATAGAGGATAGATAGAGGGAGAGAGCTTGGAGAGATAGAGAGATAGATAGAGGGAGAGAGCTTGGAGAGAGAAAATTGTTGAAAATGAGGATAGCTTCTTAGAGACAGAGCAAGACGCCGAGAAAGGGAAAACAAACCTACTTCAGTGTACAGGCTCTCAACTGCAGAGGATAAAAAAACGCCTAGGATCAAATAAAGACGACAGCGGTGGATTGTGTCCAGGTGTGTGAGAAGGGAGGCCGAGGCAGAGAATATATATGGCCATAAACAAGGGTGGGAGGATTGGGGTGATATGGAAATGGAGGAGTGTGTTGCGGTCTGAACCCCAGAGTATATGGGAGAGAGTCTGTCAGAGTCGGAGGCGACGCGGTGCTCTTTCTAGGATGTGACCAAGACAATTTGGAATAAAGAATGGCACCAATAAACTTGTCTAAAAGGGTGGAATTGGATGGGGACATCCTATCGAGAGAGTGGAGGTTGGAATCCTACATGTGAACGAGAAAAAAAGGACGGATTTTAGAGGCAGAAAATCGAAAGCCGAGGTTGGTATCATAAGATGAGATGGAGAGCGGACATGGAAGGACTAGAGACAAAGATGGTTAGGCATCTATGTACAGTGATGACCGGACTTCTATTAGTAGAGTTGAAACATCCATTTACAGGTATGAGGAATAATGTGCTGAGCATATGTCTTGTGGGACACCTTTGAAGTGAGGGAAAGAATAGGAAGTAGAAGAGGTAAATCTAACACGGAAGGTGTGATCTAAATAAAGACTATGCAAATATCTGTTTCTGTGTATGTCATAAGATCGAAGAAGACAGCTAATACTGATTCCCGGCGTGTAAATGCCGATGTGATTTGATTATTGCAATAGGCAAGAGGATCAGCTGTACTTTGGCCGTAACAAAAACCATACCGATTTAAAGAGAATCAGTTGTGATATTCGATGTAACACATAAGTGATGTAAGTGCTTTCTTTTAGATCACACCCTCTCCGTGTTATTAGGATTTACCTCTTTACTTCTATTCTTTCCCTCACTTCAAGTGTCCCACAGACAGTATATGCCTCAGCACATTATTCCTCATACCTGTAAATGGATGTTCAACTCTACTAATAGAAGTCCGGTCATCACTGTACATAGATGCCTAACATCTTTGTCTCTAGTCCTTCATGTCCGCTCTCCATCTCATCTTATGATACCAACCTCGGCTTTCGATTTTCTGCCTCTAAAATCCGTCCTTTTTTCTCGTTCACATGTAGGATTCCAACCTCCATCTTCTCGATAGGATGTCCCCATCCAATCTCCACCTTTAGACAGTTTATTGTCCATTCTTTATTCCAAATTGTCTTGGTCACATCCTAGAAAGAGACGCCGTCGCCTCGACTCTGACAGACTCTTCTCCCATATACTCTGGTTCAGACGCAACACACTCCTCATTCCATATCACCCCAAGTTCCTCCCCACCCTTGTTTATGGCCCATATATTCTCTGCCTCGGCCTCCCTTCTCACACACCTGACACAATCCACCGCTGTCGTCTTTATTGATCCTAGCGTTTTTTTTATCCTCTGCAGTTGAGAAGCCTGTACACTGAAGTAGGTTGTTTTCCCTTTCTCGCGTCTTGCTCTGTCTCTAAGAAGCTATCCTCATTTTCAACAATTTTCTCTCTGCTCTCTCCCTCTATCTATCTCTCTATCTCTCAGCTCTCTCCCTCTATCTATCTATCTCTATCTCTCCAAGCTCTCTCCCTCTGTCTCTCCTCTATCTATCCTCTATCTCTATCTCTCCAAGCTCTCTCCTCTCTCTATCTCTCCAAGCTCTCTCCCTCTGTCTGTCCTCTATCTATCCTATCTATCCTCCAAGCTATCTCAGCTCTCTCTCTCTCTATCTTCTCCAAGCTCTCTCCTCTCTCCTCTATCTCTATCTCTCATCTCTATCTCTCCAAGCTCTCTCTCTCTCTATCTCTCCAAGCTCTCTCCTTCTATCTCCATCTCTATCTCTCCAAGCTCTCTCCCTCTATCTATCCTCTCTCTCTCCAAGCTCTCTCCTCTATCTATCCTCTATCTTCCAAGCTCTCTCCTCTCTTCCTCTATCTCTCCAGCTCTCTCCCTCTATCTCTATTTCTCCAAGCTCTCTCCCTCTGTCTATCCTCTATCTCTACCTCTCCAAGCTCTCCCTCTATCCTCTACTCTCTCTCTCCAAGCTCTCTCCCTCTATCTCTCCTCTCCTCTCTTATCTCTCTCTATCTATCCCTCTCTCTATCTCTCCAAGCTCTCTCCTCTATCTATCCTCATCTCCTCTCTCTCTCTCAAGCTCTCTCCCTCTATCCTTTCCTTGTTCGTATGGATGCCAGTGTCTTCGCCCTCTAACATTTCTCTTCTTTTACAGGTACACAATTATAGAGAATTTGCGTTATATGCTCAGCAACTATGACCCAAAATTCCCCATTTATTTTGGATCAAGACTTAGATTGTTCTACAAAGAGGGAATCCTGGGGAGAGGTGAGTGCCTATACACACACACACACACACACACCACACACACACACACACACACACACATATATATATTATATATATATATATATATATATATATAATATATATACATATATATATTATATATATATATATATATATATATATATGATATATAATTATATACATATATTACATATAATATATATATAGAGAGAGAGAGAGATAGATATGATAGATATAGATATAGATATATATACATATATATATATATATCTATATGCATATCTATGTATGTATGTATGTATTATGTATCTATCTATCTATGTATCTATGTATCTATCTATCTATCTATCTATACACACACACACACACACACACACACACACACACCACACACACATATATATATATTATATATAATATATTATATATATATATATATATATATTAATATATATATAGATAGATAGATAGATAGATAGATAGATAGATAGATAATAGATACTTAACTATGTACTTATATACGTGTGTGTCCTGTTAAATTTCTTTTCCCTATAAAAGAATCAATAATACCGATAATATGCAATGCAAATATTCTTTATTTACAGTTCCGGTTACGTCCTGAGCCGAGAAGCAACAAGAAAGTTCGTGGAAGAGGCCTTGCCCAATAAATCAATATGCAAGCAAAGCAATCAGGGTCTGGAAGATGTTGAGATAGGTATACTTCCGTTTAAAGCATCTCACGCAGAGTGGAGAGTCTCTCAGCTGACTTCGCAATACTCGTTTCGAATTATTCCTCTGAGCGTTTTTTGTTACAGCTGGTTGTCTGCTGAAGAGTGGAGTCCTGATCGGCGATTCCCGAGACAGCTTGGAACGTGGTCGGTTCTTCCCATTAGGACCTCACATCCACATCAGGGGGGGTATTCCTCAGTGGTATAAGAAGAACGCCTTTTACAAGCCCTATGCGGTAAGTAATCAGAACGGATTTTATTGTTGTCACCTCAGTGCAGTTGGCGGGTTTAGGGTTCAGTGACCTAGGAAGTGGGACCAAAATGGAAATATCCCCGATGCTAGAAGGGTGGGGTCAGATGTACTGGTTCCAGGGCGCACCGAAGCACGTCAGAGGGAGATGGTTCCTTTTCTGATTATCCATTTTACTATGGTGTTACAGCACTTTGCTCCCGTGTTTCTTGTTTGATAAACAACGTTGCTTAGAGACGGGACTCCTGGATTCTAGGCTGTGCAACTCGCTGCCAACTGCAAAAGCACCTTTTCGATCTGTCTCCTTCGCTTTCCCTATCAGCTCCTCCTCCTCCTCCCTACCCCCCCTCCCACTTCTCACGCTGCCTTTCCCTACCCTCTCCCGCTTTCTCCTCTCCAACCCCAGGCCTCCCTCCCTCTCCCTCCCTGCTGTCCTGTAGCTAGAAACATACCTTTTATACTCTGGTCATATTCTTCGTCCAGGCCAGTCGGTCAAACGACTGGTCAATCATTTAAGCAATCGTTGTTCAGTGCTGTACATCGTAAAAAAGTGGGGGTTGTATATACATACTCAGTACCCTGGACTGATTGATTATCCAAAACTGTCTGCTATGTCAAGAGCATTTATTATTTTTGACTTTTAAATAAAGCCTTTTCAATTAATTTGTATAAATGCAGGCTAAAAAAGTGTTTGTACTTCCCGTATTTATATGCCAGTTTCATCCAGGAAGTATAACACTACTTGTCTCCCGCTAGAATGTAATAAGATCGGTTAACATTCTCTATGTTAGTCTAAAATTTCTACACATTCGTTTACTTGCTCACCCAAACGGCTCCAGGTTTCGTGCCGATTAGGACATCATTTCCAGCCATCAACCATCCATATTTCAGGCTTGTTTACACAATTATTTATCAGGTGGCTTGATTGCTGTTATCCCCGACTTCCAAGTACATTCGTGAGCTATTTCATTATACTGTTAGAGATTTTACCAATGCTTTTATGAAGACTTCTGATGATATTTTCAGGAGTTACATCCATAATCAGTGTTTGGCTTTGTACCTTCAGCCTTATCATTGGAAAAAAAATAACCTTCATGTTATACCAAGTGAGTTAGATGAAAAATGGAATGGTTCTGCTTACCAATATCATATTTACATTTCCCCGGATTACCTCATGAAGTTTGAAAGATACTTGTCCCTTATAAGTTACCAATTGAAGGGCGGAATCTGCAGCATTTTCAGGACTCTTGCCTCCCAGTAGAGCAGACGCTATGTGCTACAGATATACGGGAGAATTTTCGGACAATATGTATATGAGGTGGGGCTTGAGTTGGGAGATAAAACCCATATATTTCGATAGACTGATACAAATCAGGACACTTTTCCACAATGGCAATATTTGCAAATGCTTCCCAAAGGTGCTGTATGTAAATGGACAGAGGTGATGGCCAATTTTGGCAAGTCGATCATGTTCTTTTCATGACGAGAGTAAACATTGGACTGACCGCAGAACCGATTACTGCGATGTCCGAACTAGTGCATGTATTACTGCGCGATTGTCAAAATGATATTTTGCTAATCATCAGTGTCTGCCGTCAAATTTCTGCTTGAAAATGCCTTTATTAATGTTGCTATACCTCATTTACGTGTTTAAAGATTAATTGTACAGGTTTTAACAGGAATCGGTCTGAAGAACCAGCGCATTTTCGCGTTTCTGGCCACCAGGTTTGACAGGACGATTCACAGGAATTCGGTGACATGTTTTGTTTTCGGTGTTTTCGTCGATTCTAGATTATTCTCAAGACAATACAGTGGCAACGAAGAAGAAAAAGACCTTGTTAACTCTCGCAGTTTGATTTCTGAGGCCATCAAGTACACCAAATCCCGAAAAAAGTGATAAAAACGAAGGGATCCACAATAGACCGACCGAAAGAAGCGAAGGAAAATTGACAGTTTGGTCTTTTGATATATAAACATATTTGGTTCGTTGTTTAC